TTGTGTAAGGTGGTGGGGGTGTTGCCTTTTGCTGCTGCGACGGCGAGTGTTTCTTTTGTTTCTGCTGTTGCTGCTGCGACGGCGAGTGTTTCTTTTGTGTCTGCTGTTGCTGCTTCGAATCCTTTGGCTGCTGTGGTGGTGGCGGTGATGGTGGGGGTGTTGCCTTTTGCTGCTGCTGTGGTGGTGGTGGTGATGGTGGGGGGGATGCCCTTTGCTGCTGCTGTGGCTGCGGCGCAGGTGGGGGCATCTGTTGCTGCTGTGGTGGTGGTGGGGGTGTTGCCTTTTGCTGCTGCTGTTGCTGCTGTTGCTGCTGCTGTGGTGGGGGGGGGGGTGTTGCCTTTTGCTGCTGCGACGGCGAGTGTTTCTTTTGTTTCTGCTGTTGCTGCTGCGACGGCGAGTGTTTCTTTTGTGTCTGCTGTTGCTGCTTCGAATCCTTTGGCTTTGCTGCTGGTACGGAGTGCGCCGTGTCTTGTTCCGCCTTCTGGGGTTGCTCTTGCGGTCGGACGCTCTCTCGCGTCTCCTTAGGCGAGCGACTCGCATCCTGCCTATCCTTGTGGTCCCCGTGTCTTGGAGGCAGGGCATATGGGGGTTCTTCTGGCCATACCGCCACTTCTTCCAAGTGCTTTAGCTCCTCTGCCTGGTCTTTCTCGTCTGCCTCTCTGTCCTCTGGTTCTTCGTCTTCGTCCTCCTCTTCCCCTTCTTCGTCATCCTCATCTTCATCTGCCGCGAAGATCGCGAAGTGGCGCTGCAGGTCTATGTGGCCGTCTGCTAGCTCGTCTGCCGAAGCCTGCTGATGCTGCCTCCCTCCCTCCAACACATCTTTCAGCATTGCCAAGATGTCCACCCCCCCCGCCACATTGGTAATCGCGTGGTCAGTGAGCTCCTGAGGTTCCCCTTTTCCATCCTGCTGAACTAGCACATGGCCTTCCGGCTTATCTTCCCCGTGCCACACCTTCTCTTCCAGCACCTCTCCCCCTTCGCCAATCGTTCGCGAGCGAATCACAACGATTCCCCGGCCTAGTATCGGTGAAGGCAGGGGGAGGCCTCCAAAGGGGCCCCCAAAACCCATCAGCGTGCCTACACCACCGCCCCCTATACCCCCCATAAGCAAACTGGGAAGAAGCGATTCCGATAAGACTTCTGCTGTCGCGGCTGCCTTCTTCAGACGTAACTCCCGAGAAGTCCAAGGCTCCACTACAACCACACTCCACAATCGGCCCAAGGTAGGCTTCCCCCTGCAGCAGCACCAACAGCAACAGCAACCGCCGCAGCAACATCGAACGGCATGCAACGCTAGGGTGCAAAAACAACCAATGGAGCAAATCCAAAAGCCTTGACGGTAAGAGAGACAGAGAGCGAAAGAGATAGAGAGATAGAGAGAGATAGTGAAAGAGACAGAGAGAGAGAGTGAAAGAGATAGAGAGAGAGAGAGATAGTGAAAGAGATAGAGAGAGAGAGTGAAAGATATAGAGAGAGAGAGTGAACGAGATAGAGAGAGAGTGAAAGAGATAGAGAGAGAGAGAGTGAAAGAGATAGAGAGAGAGTGAAACAGAGAGATAGAGAAATAGCCAGAGAGACAGAGACAGAGAGACACACAGTTAGAGGCAATTTGCAGCCAGAGAAGCGCCAGATTAAGTCAACCCACGAACGCTATTTGGGAAATGGAAGAAATATTTGAAGAGAGAAAAAGACTTCTCGAGATAGAAAGAGATTAAGAATTGCTTACCGTCTTCCTAATTCGTGGAGCGTGGCTTCAAACCGAACTTTATCCCCAGGACTGAGCTTGACAACTTCCGCGGCAAGGGTTCTGTCGAAAGCAAGTGCCAAGTCTGCACCGTCTCCCTTCATGCCTTCTTCTTCCTTCCGCAGCGCCTCCAGCTCAGACAACAGACTATGGGGATCTTCATTGTCTGTTTCTTCTGATTCTGGAAGCAGAGGGGCCTCTTCCTTGCGTGCTGCAGCGGTGCTTAGCGTAGGATTCATCGCTAGGAAGAGGAAAGCAGGAGAGGCGGCAAAGAAGCCCTCCTTAACCTGCTTGACGAGACCTTCCCACTGGACCGTTCGCAGTGCAAAGCTCTCCCTGAAGTTGGCTGCTGCCTGCAGTGGGTTTCCCAGCTGAGAGCGGTGTCCACATAAGGATACGAATTCTTGCCAGCTCAAGGAGGTTGATTCGCCTAAGGATCCTCAGCACACACATGCACACACATGCACACACACACACACACATGCACATGCAGAGTAGAGAGGATATGTGGTGGCGATGGTGGAGGGGTGCTGCTTAAAAGCCGATATACGTGTGCCGCGCGAGATACACGAGGCAAAGATCAAGAGATGATACGGTGGAGGAAGCAAAAATTAAGACACGCATGCATACATACGCACTGTAAAGGTGCAGTAGGCAAATCAAGAGGCAGCTGTAGAACGCTCTTGGGAAGGGGGGAGGAGGAGGGGAGAGGATTTAGGAACCATCGGGAGAAAAGCGAAGGAAAGCTCGATGAAAGCGCGCGTGCGAATGCATCTTTCTGACTAACCCTTCGTTAAGTATTGTAACGTTGAATCGAAAAGGCCACCCCTGAAAAGGTGGCAGAGGAGGATGACTGCGAAAAGGGCTGAAAAGCAAATGAAGTATCGCCTCGTGAGCACCACGGCACAGCTCCCGCAACGCAGTGTCAAGACACCATCTCTCCCTGGGAAGGGGCAAGCAACACGAGATCGGCGGTAAACTAGATTTCTGCAGTGTGGGCACTCGTGGACAGCATCCTGCACACAATATCACACGCGTGCAAGAAGAAAACAGATTTTTCAAAGCAAGCATTCGCGAAAAAGCATGCAGTCACTCACATCCAAGCTGACTGAGAAAACTGAGGCATCGCAGGTGGTGCTGCCGCGGCTCACACCAACGCTGCTACAGCCAGCTTTGGGGGTAGCGAGATGGGGCGTTGCCGTACAACGCCCGCAGGGAAAGAGCAGCCAGCTGGCTGTTCGTAGACAGAAAAGGGAATATGTCTTTCTGACGTACTCGAAGAGCCACCCAGAGCAGAGGGCCCAAACAGAATCCTATCCAGCCAAGAAAAATAAAGGAAGCTATGCAAGAGGATATCCCTAGACAGGACCGCTTGAAGCGCACAGTTGTTGTGATGGCCTTGCTGCAGTGAGGACAAAGCGTTTGCGTAGGAGACTCCCCGTAGGCTTCATCCTGCTGCGGAGATTGGCTGTGCGTAGGGCCCTGCGAGCCTCCGCAAGTCTCCTTTACAAGGCCTCTAGGCGCCCCCACAGGGTTCACGCTGGTTCCAGCCTTCATTGGATCGTGGTACACAGGGAAACGCGCTTCAGCAGTCCCCGACACCTACGAGAGAGAAAGAGAGAGAGCGAGACTTGCCTGAGCTGTTGATCCCCGTTCCTCCTGTACGCCCTCTCGCGGGCTGAAGCGTCGCCTCTATTTTGGATTACCAGTTACTTGCGCGTGTCTTCTCCGCACCCGCCAACCTTCCGCGATCGCGCGGGGCCGCTGCAGCCTTCTCTCAATCTTGAGCCTCGCTTTACTGCCAAAACGCGGGGAAAACGCAAAGGGCGGGGAGGGGTGTGGAGTTACGCGTAGGCAGTGGAGGGAGCGCCACCCGTGGCGCAACACCAGTGGTGAGCCAAAATGCAGTTATCACGAGTTCCTGGGATAACTTTGTACGCCAATCTGAGCAGCAAGCAATGTAAACAATAACGATCAATGTGGAGCCAGCCGGTTTCCCAGGTCGGCTGCTTACAGCCGGAGCTGGCAACCCTCCTGGGCCCTGTTGCATGTGCAGTCGGAGGCGCGGGTTTTCGCTAGGGTTAGGACTGCGGTGGAGGGGGAAAAGGGAAACTTTGAAGGAATTTGTGAGGGTCAAAGTGCCGAATTGGAGCTTTTTTCGCTGTGTTGTCTTGTGTGTTTAAAAACATCCGCCCCGTAGGAGGCAGGACAACGGGCTACGGGGAGCGGCTACGAGTAAACTGCATAAGCACAACATCTTTGCAAACTAAAAGCTAAGTCTGCGCCCACATCTCGTGTTTTCATTCATGTGTTGGCTCTATAGACGCTGCTCTATAGGCCTCCTCTGCTATATCGAGGGAAGACTCATGCATGACTGTTACCTTGGGGGGCACCCAGAAACCCCCTTCCCCGTAAAATACAAGGCTGAGGGGTCCAAAAGTCCTAAATTCAAAGGAAACCCCTGGTCTAACCAAAGGGGGTAGGGCTTTACGCGGCATCCTCAGGATAAGCACAGAATGGCTACTTGACACCCGTCTGGCAGTGCCCTAGTTGTGTCCAGCCATGTAGCGAGTGGGCTACACCAGAACACTTTCTGGTAAAATAGTTATATTAGCTAAGAGCTATTACACAACCGACAAATAGGTTCGATCGTTCGTATATTTTGCTTGTTCCAGAGCACTGTTAGCTCGATGGAAGAAAAGGCAAAGTGTGCGCTTGTGTACTAGAAACTATTTGAAACTAGCTGAGAATGCTCGGAATGCTAAGAAGCTGCACCTACGCACGCCCGAGATGTACCTCGCACCTGATATCGGTACCTTTGAGGGGCGCGGACAGAAGGCTGTGGGAGCTCCTTTTCTAGGAAAAAACTAGTAGTCTCTACCTTACATGCAACGAGTCTAATGTTAGGTGTCTCCCTGAAGAGACTTGAGGTCGAGCGCTATATCTGATAGCACTCCATGGCTTGATCAAGCTGTAGTCAGCTTACTGACTGGCGGTGAATGCAGCGGAGTGTCAGCCTTCCCTACAACAGTGTACTTGTATTGATCACGCAATATTGTGATTCAGCGATCCGGTTTCGTCTGACAACAAACAGAAAGGACACTCCGGAGATTGGATTTGACGATGGCAAGGCGCCTGTTGTGGTGGACGAGGCCAGCCTGCAAGCCCATGAGCCCAGTAGCCCAACACTGGGTGGGAAGGCATAGTTTGTAAGCCGATGGGGTTTATGGATGCGTTGATGAAGTTATACAGGCCGAAAGAATATGAAAGCTGCAAGGATGAGCAAGTACTTAAAACATCGTGCCAGCCGGTTGTAGCTGTACCTCCCTTCCTACCGAAAAGATTCAGAACAGCTAGTGTTACCTGCGGCGTTTTTGGAAGAGAGCCCCACTTTAACAGTGGCTCCACTCGTGTGAAGCAAGTCACCTGCAATGAAAAAGTACTACAGATCAAGCTTCCATCCATGCCCTGACTCATATATCTTTGATCAGATAAACTCAACGGCAAGCCTTAGAAGTATTGAGGAAGGTCAAGCGTAGAAATCTACAAATAGATTCGTCTATTTAGAACTCTGGATTTCGAACCACAAAAGCCAAAACTTCGACAAACAATGCACGATCAGTGGATAGTTTTAGTTCTAATGAAAGTGTCACACTAGGTGGTCGCAGGATGGGCAGCGCCTCAGCAATTAAACAACCGACTGGTGTGCCTCTTGCAATCGATGTACTGCTGGAGGTTTCATGAACAAATAAGCGCAGCTCCTTTATCTTTGGACAGGAGGAACAGCCAAATCGAAATATAAAACATATGAAGTCGGGGACTTTGCCGAACGACCACTGTCACAGTCTAAGGTATAAGAGGAAAGAAGCCATACAGAACCTGCTTCCAACGCACCTCGAGGCAGCTCCCCAGCATCGCATCCGCTCGTATTGTGCAAGATGCAGCTATATAATCCAGAATTACAAATGCATGCAAAAAGCCGAATTGCTTGGGAATTGCGACTGAGAGCTAGAGAAGCAAGCTGCTTGCCTAAAAACAAACTGCAGATGGGAACCGCCACTGCACAAGTCAGAACTGCGCCCTACTTGCACGATCCATCTCAATGTGGAACCCGTCCACCATGATGTAACCGCTGGTATGCCATGTGCGACCCAACGGAAGGACTCATGCGTCCAGAGCTGCGCACTGTAGGCTAATGCGCCAGGAAGCTTCTTGAGAGAATCATCTCTTGGGTTCCTCAGCAACGCTTATATTATTAATGGTGGAGAGTCAGTACCTCAAGATGATGAGGCAGGGTTATCATGAGTGCGGCTCGCCAGTGCGTACAGGCAAACTGGGCATGCACCCCTTCTTCCTGGGCCTGCAGCTATCCTCAAATACTAATTCTAGTAAATCTCCAGCCAGAAAACAGCAGGAGAGAGCAAATATCAAGGAGGAGTTAGCGTATGTGCTACACAATGTCGAGCTGCTGGTAGGCTGGCCACCTGGTCGTCCAGTCTACCATATTGAATTAATAACCGGTTTTGCCCCACGCTAAGTTCCGAGCTATCGGAAGCCTCCACAGCTTTAAGTAGAAACTGGATGTCAGGAGGTTTATTTCCAATAACTGGCGAAGTGCAGGAATCGATCAGCGCCTTTGACCAACCAGGTGCTAATGCTAAAAACGGTACCGAAGACAGCTCATGTGTGTTCACTTTGAACACATGAACGAAATCACTGTGGAACAGATCCTCCTATGTCTTAGAATGACAAATTTAATAACTTACTACACGCATCAACAGTCTGCTCGGCATATGTCTCCACAAATGCCTTCATATAAATGCCCGTTCATCCTGATATGATGCACAAGGCGGCGTTACAAACCGGCACTAGCATACATGTATGCCTCCTGGGCTTCAAACCCACCAGCTCAACTGCAAAGTTCAAGATAGTAAGCCTTGTCATGAAACTTCCAGGGAGGCGTGGATAACTGTCTATATGAACAACTCGTTGGTATCTTGCCGAAACGTTTAAGAACACCTAGTAAACCTACAGCGTGCGTTTAAGCTATGCGGAACAAGCAGTGCTATAAGAAGACGCGCAAACGTTGTTTCCTTTGAATGAGTCATATTGTGCTCATGGAATTTCTCAATTCGACCACAGGAAATATGCAGACCTGGCAACCATGGAAGCGACAAAGTCATGACCTTTACCTTTACCCACCCGAAAGGACATTGGAAAGTCTAGATGTTTGCACCTTATTGCAGGAAGTTCATTTCTTCAGTTACTCTTATCGCTGATTCTTCAATTGGTTTACGCAAGAAAACGCAATCTAGAACCTGGAAAGAGGAGGCAGATGCCGAAGCCAGGACGCTTATGGACCTCCTTACAACTATGGTATGTGCATTTTACGCTTGTAGACGTCAATGCTTCCCACCAAATGATTTGAGTGATGTATCGCTGGGGTTTTCGCTCTTTAACGGGCTACAGATGCATCTTATAATTGCCTATTTTCCTCACTGCTGTACTGAAACCGGGCAGCGGTATCGATTGCGAGAAGAAAACCTTTGTGAGGTTCAGTGAAATATGTAGAAACGCCGGCAGTGTTTATGTGGATGTCATTTAGCTATCCAGATCGACCATCTGTACTTAGTGTAGCCTACGAAGAGACTTCATGTCTGATAATCCTAGAGCTGTTTGCTGGTTTGGAAGCCACCTGCAATACGACGTCATGGTGAACGTTATTGGGGGGATCATCAGTGTAGTCGCTGATGCCCTGTCGCGACGCCGAGCGGTTATTTGTTTTGCAGCGCAACCCCTCCTTGGCATGATGGCTCACGAAGTGTAACAAAAATCGTAAGTGTCATGTGTCCTATACCCGTGCATCCACAACTATATTCAAAGTTGAAAGAGGAATAGAATAAAGCATTGCCACGTTAGGGATGGCCTGCTGTTATTGACAACAAAGCAGGGAATCCGTCTCTTGTACCTTCCGACTTCAGTCCACAATTCTGTCTCAAAAAATTACATATAATTCTTTTGCGCGACAAAAGGATGTACACAACGGGAAAATCCTCGCGATGGCCCGGGATGCTTCCCGTACCAGAGGAGCGCTCTGTCATGTCCAGATTGTCAGCAGCTGAAGCCGCGCAGAAGCAATTATTCTTAACCTAGGTTTTTTAAGTTCCGTTCGACTTCTGGAGAGATTAGGACATTTCTTACTATGCATCTTATTGGTTTATCACCGTGAGGTCAAGGATCATGATAGAATCTATGTCGTTGTCGACATGCGCAGAAAAGATGCTCATTTTTTTGATTCCTTGCTCCAGCTCTCTCATGGCGCACAAAGTCGTTCGCTGGATTTCATCTTATAACCAAAAGCTCGAAGGATTCCTTAGAAGCATCATTACCGATGAAGATAAGATGTTAGTCAGTGCGTTCTGGCTCGCCTTCATGACGCATGTACTCACTGACTGCATCATAAAGCATTGCGAACCACTCTCAGGCACAAAAGCAGACACTACACACCAACTGAGCACCTCTGCAGTACCTGCGATTCTTGGCCAACAAAAGCTCTGTAGCTCAGCTTGAGTTTCTTCCTGGTGCTGTATGGGTTTATAGTCCAACAGTAAACACGTTTACCTGCTGCCCTCCCAACTCCCAGATCTACGCTGAGAAGGCCATTGACCTGAGCATAAAACTGGTGGTCTGGGGAAAGCAGTCAATTTCATCGTCGAAAGGACTCATAGAACAGCTGGCTAGTGTACGTGAATGTATGCACATAGCTCAACAAAGGCTTGCACAAAATAAGGATAAGCAGCGTTCTCCTGTGTATTATAGGCTGAAGATTTGGTTTTGGTTGAGTGGTAGGATTTACGAAGTGCACCGGAAGGTGGGCAGACAAAGAAATTGGCAACCAGATGGCAGAAACTAACTGCCACCCACTAAAATACACTGGCTTTCCTTACTCCAACGACTGCCCTAAGTCTTTTAAGGTGCAATAGAACCATTTTCTAATGACCTAAAGAATTTTGAAGACCTGCCGGAGTACGTACGCACTTTGCCTCACAGGCAAACCATCCTTATTGAGGCCAGAGATTCTGAGCGGGCCGTAGAAGTGCTGAATTTTGGCCCTTGTGAGCGCCGAGGACACACTAGACACGAGACTTAGTGATCTGAGGTGTTGGATACCAACCTCAGCGGTTGACGGAGGAGTACGCACAGGCCTCACTCCTTGCGAGAGAATGTATGGCTCTGTCTGGCCACCAGCATTAGTCGCCATGAACAGCACTCCACGGTCTAGCGCACGCCCTGCTGTAAATAAATAGTTTTATCTATTGCGCGTTGCGTTGAAGTTATCGGTTATTATTGTTCTACAGTTGGACGTATGCAGAAGACACTATCAGTCATGACGTCCCCACATTCTTCCTTTGGCATCTTCAGTATACTATGCTGCGTGTATCAGCTGTATTCGCATGCATAAAGTGCTCTAACGGGCACGGAAACACTGATGAACTAGTGCGTATCTTGGTTCGCTTTACGAATTTTATCGTCTCTGCTGCCTTCTAGCAGGAGACCCATACATTTCAGCCCTCTGGCGATACCGAGCCAATGAGCCGCTGCGGTCATGTTGATCTGGTCCGCGTTTGGTGCTGGCTTATGTGCTTGGCTTTCTTCCTGTTGATTTCACATTACTGGTTGACAAATACACATGTTTTCCAATCTACACTATTTTCGACTGCCTGCCTGGGGAGTGGTGACAAGGCGGGAACTCTTCTGCAACCCTAAACGCAGCTAGTCTCAATGGGTTGGTACGGAATAGGCGGGCGCGTTTTAAAATGAAGCGGTGGAAGTCGGCCTGGGCGGGGGAAGCGGGCGGGTGAGGGGGCAGGAGTATTGGGGTAAGCTACACTTCAACACTCTCTTTTATACTTGTCGTAATATCAAAGGGTTGTTAGAAGATATACGAATTGTTGTCTATTGGTATCTCCCTGTTTATTGCCTAGTTCTGTTAGCTCGATTCATGAAAGTGCTCTGTTGTCTAGGTGTGCTCTGGTTGCGATGTGCAGCTATCTTTAAGAAGCTCGAGGTGCTTAGAGGGTGTAGATGCGGCATCCCTCTTGTTAAGAACATTGATGGGGCGCGCCGGGGAAAAAGAGGGGAGATACCTGTGAGAAGAAAAACTTTATGAAGTTTGTGTTGAATACGGAGTTAAGTGTCTTTCCAGGTAGACAGATGGTCAGCCCTCCTTCAGGAGTCGCCATTCACTTTGGTTCCGCGACCTTCGGCCTTGCCTCCCTTTCTTGGGCTTTTCTTGGCACTCCATTGGCGATGAAGACACGCATTAAGCACTGAACCACTGCCTCCTTACTGAGTGCAGTCACACTCCCGGATCCTCACATAGGGCTCTACATCTTCCTATTTTAGCTCTGCGCCCCTCTCCCCGAGAGGCTACTCTGCGACGACGGAGTTCAGCGTTTCAAAGTGTGTGATTAGACCCGGGAGCTCGTGACTAATTCAGCTGCTGGGTTACTGCTTTATAGGCTTCCAAGTCCAACCCTTTCCCGAATCCGTAATCCAAACCTGTATAGCTCATTGATGTTGTCCCTTTACGTGAGTAAACGCCAGATTATCGGCCAGCTGCTATCCCCATCCTTGTGCCCTACTAATGCAACGAAGAATGCCACGCAGATGGACTCTGCTGCCTGTCCTGCCATCTATTTGGCTATCTACTTAGCTTCCTAGTTCACCCGCTGGCTAGTCAGTCATAATTAGCAGTCCCCCGCGCTTCCAGTCAACGGATGCGAGAAGAACACTACCCTGTAGGTTTTCCGTCATAAAATTCCCTGCAAATCCCAAAATATTTTAAATTGCACACACCTCATCGCTACAGCGAATAATTTGCGGGCCGCTGCTGCTGTTGCTGTGTATATTCCAGGTGCAGCGGTTCGTCAAAGGACTGCTGCTGCTGCCGGCGGTACGACTGCAGGGGCAGCCCTGTTCGCTGAGAGGCAGACGCTTCTTGTGGCGGGTGAGGTCGCTGTTGTTGCTGCGGCGAAGAAGACCAATAGGGCCACAGTGGAGGCGCTTGTTGTCCCTGCGGCTCCATCAGCAAGTGCTGCTGCCTTTGCATGAGTTGCTGCTCAATGCCCAAATAGTGCTGGCGCTGCAGCACATGCTGATGCTCTGATGGGTTCATCAGAAAGAACTCGTTTTGATGCAGCTGTGGCGTGTGCAGCTGTTGATGATGCGGCTGCGCAAAGAGTTCGGTGGGGTGAACCAACATCAACTGCTGTGGCTGCTGGTTACCGACGCCACCGTGTGTTGCTGCTTGCAGCGACTGTTGTTGCTGCTGTTGTTGCTGCTGTTGTTGCTGCTGTTGCTGTTGCTGCTGCATCTGCCAAAGTACGTGCTGGTCCTGTAGTAAGATGGATTCCAAGGTTTCCGAGCTGTGGAAGGGGACCGCAGAGCAGCTTCCGCGGTGATTTCCTCCTCCGCTTTGAGAGGTGAGTTTGCCATCAACTTCTGGTGCTGTTGGGGCCGCTGTAGAGAGGGCACCGTCAGTTACGTGAGAAAAGGAGTTTGTCTGTTCGCTGGGGAACATGGCAGCGGTGTGCTGCGGGAGATAAGAGGCCCTCAGATCGTTACTTCCTGCAATCGATAGGCATCCATGGGCCTGCGGTAGGAACGAATGGGGGTGGTGCTGTTGCAGATGCAATGAAGGCGGAAACGAAGGATACTGCTGTTGCTGGAGGGGGTGCTGCTGCTCACTCTCTGAGTAACCCGGCCACAATGTAGCAGCAACCGGCTCTGGCGCATACATCGCCTGGGGGTCTTCTGATGCTGCGATTGCTGCTCCTGATGCTGGTGGTGCTACGCTTTGTGAGCTCGCGTCAGAAGGGAAGCCAGATACACAAAAAGACGGTATTGCCAGACTTTGGCGTGTGTTGTGTGTGACCGCGTTTGGGGGCTGGTGCCGCTGCTGCTGCTGCCAATAGTGCGACGTGGCTGGAGCATCGGCAGCAGGAGCTGCTGCTGCCGAGTGACAGCTTGCACTGCTGCCTGTCGTATCATGCTGTGGATAGTATAGGAGTTGCAGAGAGCTATCATCGTCATCATTCGCAGCAGCAGGTATAGGAACGGGGTTGGTGTCGGTGAGCATCCCTTGTTGCTGGCGAGACATGCGAGATGCCGGAGTGTCTGGAGAGGGGGTAATCCACCCCGCGAGCGGCAGCTGCTGCTGTGACTGGTGAAGTCTTCGTGTAGCAGCTGCTGCAGCAACGGCCTCCCGGCGTATCCTGGCCCCTTCTCGGACGTGGTGCAACACCGCGGGCGCAGTGTTGCTCTTCAGCAGATCTCTAAGTGCGGTGCTGCTTTTATGCTGGAGGTGTTCTCGCCGCTGCTGCAGGGTCTGCTGATTCAAATGAGGGCGCTGCCTTTGCGGGATATCTGGGAGCACGAGGGAAGAGGCCCCCATGCGGGAACGCGTGGTTTGAGAGAGCTCCTTGTTTGGTGGGGTAGGGTTCCTTTGCTGGGCAATGGGGGGCAGGCTGCTGAGTTTTTGTAGGCTGCTGAGACGCTTCCAGGCCTCTAGACGTTCGCCTTCCAGCTGCTGCCGCACCATAGAGTTCTTCTGGCGGAGCTCATCTCTGTAGGAGGGCAGCTCGACGAGGCTCTTAGACCTGGGAGGCATGCGTCTAGCCAAGCGTTGCGGCTGCTGTTGCTGGCTCCAAAGCTGCTGCTGCTGTGGTGGTAGCGGCAGCTGCGAATGATTCTGTCGCAGCAGAGGTCGTAAAGAGGCTCCCATAGAATGGGGAGGCCCTACTCGCACCGCAGGAACAGCGATTGCAGCTGTCGATTCTCCGAAAGACAGTGTTGCGCGGCAGGGAAGGGCGCCCGAGGGGCAAGCTCCAGCAGCAATGAGAGATTTTCGCGGGTCTGCTGATACTGCCGTCACTCTGGAAACAGCTTCTTGTCGGCTGCATGCAGCTCCTGCTACTGCTGGCGCCGACTTCGTGCCGGGGAGGATGTACGCGATGCCGCTGCTGAGGGCACTAAGAACGGCCCCCGAACCCCTGTGACCGAAAATGCAGCCATGTTGCGCGCACATATCATGAGACATTCGCGATACCTGTGCATTAGGCAGCTACTAATTAGACCTCTTTTAAGCCACACACACACACACACACACACACACACACACACACAGGGCTAGAGTGCAAGCCGTCAATGTCGCGCAGGCCTGGCTGGCTGTAGAACCAGCTCGCAGAAGAAGGCACCGCGAAAAAACTGTCCAGTATAATCACATGAGTCTGACGATATCGAATACGCGAAAAAACAAAAAGCAGCACTGTGCGCAGTAAGACAGAGGGTACTACGACTTTCAAAGGGACGCGGTAACGGCTGTTTTGCCGCGATTAAGAGTGCCGATATTTGTACCTGTCGATGCGGTCTAGAAGGCTTTCCATCACGGCAGCCCCCTGTCCATCTGCAACCCTTTCTGCTGCTTCCGCCGCTCTTGCTGCTGCTGCCTTGGCTGCTCCCTCCCCGGCGCTTGCCAGATGTCGTAGCGTTAGGTGAAGGCCTGCAGCGGCTACATCTCGAGCTGCGGCAGCAAACGACCTGCCCCCGCTGGCGGTACTGGGGTTTGCAAGAGTAGCCTGCCACAGTTGCTTGGCCTCTTCAGGCTCCTGCTGCAGCTGAAAAATCTGAGCAGTGCCGCTTGGAGAGGCGCTGTGACTTCTCACTCCGGCAAAGGTTCGGGCGGCTGGCATGTCCACGCGCCGCACGGTATCTCTAGGCGGCTTTCCACTGCCACTGCTTACACAGCTGCTAAGTCGCGTGCTGTCTGCACTGCTGCTACTGCCACTGTGGATAATATTGCTTGAGCGAGTAGTGCTGCTGCTGCGTGGAGAGGCTGCTTGGCGGCGGGGTCTTAGGAGCGCTGGAGGACGGTGAAGCTCCCTGAGGAAGGCGACGGGCTGCTGAGAGGGAGCCTGTCCCTTTTCCTCCGTAGGAAGAGTCGCCAGGAGAAAATGATCCAGACCAGCAGCAGCCTAAGGAAAGCACATGTGGAGACTCTCAAGCAGAAGCCCTGGTGAAGAGCAGAGGCTGTGCGTTAAGGAGGCCTGCTACCATGCTCAAGCAGAAGCTCAAGGTGCTGCTAGCGTTTGCTGCTTCTACCGTTGCAGCTCACCTCTACGATTCGCCTGTGGGGAACTCGGATCCTGCAAGCTCCCCTGAGTCGTTCTCTGCGGCTCTTATCTGCCCAGAAACGAGGCGCAACGGTTGCTGCCGCTTTATTCCAATCTTCAAAGGGCTTCCGCTGCTGCTGCTGTCCGCTGAAATCTAGAGGCAGCAGCTGCTGCTGCACACAGCCATCTCCTACTGCGATGAGGTCGCCCTTCTCCGTGAATAAAAGCAGTCTGGCGCCTTCTGCAGCAAAGGCAACCCGGCGTATCTGCACGCCTCTTCCCTTGGAGGGCCTCCCGTCTGGAAGGTGGGGGCCCTCCTCTTCCGAAAGCTCAAAGAGTGTGGGAGGGGCAGCAGACCAGCAGGCGGCGTCTCCGCTGCAAACACATCGCCGACAGGCAAATTGAACAAGACGTGTGGCACACGGCAAGCCCCCTTTGTGCAGCGTGAGAGCTCGCAGGCAGCGTCCCCAGAAGCGGCACGCTCAACTGTCACTGTCTCAATGACTGCTGTCCAGACAGTGCCTCGCTCTCTCTCCGCACCTTTCGACGAAAGCTTGTAAATCTCCCCACAGCCAAACGTCTCCCTGCTCCGAAAGGGCTGCGCCGCAGATGCCTCCAGCAGCAATTTGCTCAATGCGTGCGGGCATCTGCGGATGCACTGCTGCGATATCCGCAAACAATGCTGGCGGCAGCCGCGTTGGTGGAGCTCTTGCTGTTGCCGCTTCCTCTGCTTCATTGAGCCCAAGGCAGTTGCCCGTGTTGCTGCCCCAGGTGTACAGACCCTGGGGCCCCCCGGGGACCCTCTCCTCGGCGCTGCGCGCTTGGCTAGCCGCATGGCGAGGGGCCCCCAGCGAAAGCGTGTGCAGCGATCCGCAGGCCACCTGAGAGAATCCGAGGAGACCTCGCTGTAGGGAGGGGGCCCCTTCCTCTCCCGCAGTGCTCACCAGGAAGGCGTAGCCGGCGCTGTCAGCTGCAAGCAGCATGGCCTTGCTGTCTCCAGAGCTGGAGTGCCCCGCCAAGTAGCCAACGCCAGTGTCGGCACTGCTCTTGTGCGCCGCAAGGATGGAGTGAACAAGGGGAAGAACGGTGAGGGGCACGAGCGAGAGGTCCACCAAGAGCAGCTCGCGAGGAAACAAGAAGGCCTCTGTCGCCATAGAAAAGCCACACTGGCCGTGACTGTTGCTGCCCCAGACAAAGAGACATCCCGCTGCCGTGATAGCCGCCATGTGCGAATTGCCGCATGCAACCTGTCGCACTAGCTGCTGCTGCTGCTGCTGCTCTGACGAGGAAGCGAACGAACGCGGAGAGACTGCAGTTGGATGCCGCCGACTGTGAGTGTCTCCCACACCTAAAACGCCGCTTGCATTGTTGCCCCAAGTGTACAGCCCCCCCTCAGCAGTAACTGCTGCGCAGAAATCAGGCCCGCAGCAGACGGCCGCAAAAGTGGCTGCAGGAAGAGACGGCATCGCTTTAAGCCGCGGCAGCGCCGTGGTCCCTTTCAGAAGAGCTGGTAGATAAACAAGATCCTCTCGGTGCTCAGGGTGTTCGAGTTCTCTCGATTTCGCGCGTGGATCGGAGAAAACAGACACATCTATCCAAGAGAAGCGGAGGGCCCTGCTTAGCCCGTAATCTCTCGAGTGGTCTGCCGGATGTCTGATCAGCGCACCGTTGGAGGAGGTGCCCATGCTCCCATTCGCGTCCTCCCTGTAGCATCCAGCAGCTCCCCAGTTGAAGAGGAGGCCCTCCGTAGTTACTGCTGCGCTGCAACGAACGCCTGCAGAGACACTACGGACTGCCCCCGGCAGAGCAACGACCTGCTGCGGCTGGCAGCAAAACCTGCGGCGCAACAGAGGCAGGCATACACACGAGCATCGGACAAGAAGAACAATGCGTTTTTTAGGTTGGAAGATGCTTGACAGGCCTTCTCATAATCGCGCACAGGAGGTCTCCACAGACACACAGACACACACACAGACACACAGACACACAGACACAACCCACACACACAGACACACAGACACACAGACACACACACAGACACACAGACACACACACAGACACACAGACACACAGACACAACCCACACACACAGACACACACACAGACACACACACAGACACACAGACACACACAGACACACAGACACAACCCCCACACACAGACACACACACAGACACACACAGACACTCGGCAGAAGGAGCACCAAAACACGCAGAGGCCCATAGAGCAGACGGGGGCGGCGCAGGTCTCAGCGGCAGAACCGAAAGGCCACAAAAGAGAGCGAGAGATCGCTAGCCAGAGAGCAGCACTCACCAGACGTCTGCGCCTTTCGCTACGGAGACAAAGTTGTCTCTCTCTTGCAGCACAGGGTCTATCGGGAAGTAGGCTGCCTCCCCTAGGCCTAGAGGGCCTTCTTCGTTGAGACCACACGAGAACAAGAGAGGGCCAGATCTCTGCTGCCACTGCAGCCATTGCAGCACATGCTCACAACTTTCGCCCTTCACCGTGTAGGGAGGCGAGGACGCCGCATCCTCCCCGCCATCGAGCCTCGTGCACCCCGTCCTCTTCCCCGCTGCCGCTCCGGCCGAAGGCGTTGCTTCTGCTCCCGCTGTTGCTCTAGTCGCCTCTGAGACTGGGCAGCTACTTCCAGAGACAGCGGCGACTGCCCATTCCGCCGCACGGTCTGCGCGTTCAGCCCTGGGGGCAACAGCGGAAGCCCACTGAATGGCGAGTGCTCCTAGCCTCTTGAGATTGTACAGCACGACTGCGCAAGAAACGTGTGGCGGCAACAGAGGGTCGGGAAGGTGGCAGTGTCGCTGCTCGGGGTACTTTGGGGTGTATGCACAGCCGAAGAGCTGGGCCGCCTGCTCCTGCTGCTTCCGAGAAAGTGGAGAGGTAGGCCATGTGGCTTCGGAGGGGGCCAGGACCGACAGCTTGCACTGTTTCTGCTGCTGCTGCTGCGTCTCGGAGTCCACTGCAGCGCAGTCGCCCGTGGCGGTGGGTATGGTTTTGCACTCCGAAGGCAGGACGCGTTTGTCCACTGAAAGCAGCGGCATCAGCGGAAGGTGGCGAGGCACCAAGTGCGGGGGCCCTACAGGCAGCGGGCACACGCTGTGTCTGAGCCTCAGGACCCTCAAAAGATCCGCATACACCCCGACTCTGGCTGTGGCTGCGGCTGCCGTCTCCGCAAAACAGGTCAGGATCTCGTTTTTTCCGTTGTCGCTGTTGTCAAGGCTGCTGCTGAGGGCAGCGTACGGCACTGCGCAGCCGCAATACGATATCAGGAGCAGCAACCAGCTGAGGAGGGCTCCAAAGGGGTGGCCCACACCCTCTGCAAAAAAAGAAACGCAACACTGGCAGAAGCAGAAGCCTTCGACGATAGAGGCCGTGGGGAGACACACGAAGGGAGGATTGAAGCAAGCGGAAGGCTTACGCGCCACGCGCAAGACAAAGGACAGCTCCCAGGAATTGGAAAAATGGCAGACAAAGAGGCCTTACCTTCAAGCAGCGCACACCCATAGTACTTCTGCAGTAAATCAAGGGAAGCCATCAGCCTCCGCTTCGCAGAGGCAGCGAAGCCACGCCGCAGGCGGCAGATGCCCCTGCACACAACAGAGAGGAATACTCAGTACCCTGCAAGTCATCGTCCGTGCTCTGGGTCCTCACGCTGCCTTGCTAGGGGGCTAGTCAGGTGCTGGCACAATGTGTCTTTACAACTCTAGGTACTAGGAGAGAACTGGAATTCGACGCGAATCGCGAAAGAATCGGCAGTCCTGCAAGTAGACCCCAGTAGCAACCCACAAGATGGCGGCGAGAAGAGAACCGTGGGGGCCCTCCTGGGGGCCCCCCAAGCGGACGCCCTCAACAGCATTGGACAGAGCCGCAAAAAGACTCAGCTGATGCTGCCGAAGAGAGCTGCCAGGGGCACAGAATCCGCCTTCTAGGCCGTAGGAAACCAATCGCGACCCCTCGGAATTTTCCTCATCTGCGGACGCCGCTTCTGCACTGCCTGCTGCAGCGGAAACGCATTCTGATTGCTGGTGCTGCTGCTGCTCCGAAAGACCTGAGAAGCCAAGCCAGCTGTCGAAGTTCAGCAGCAACTGCAACAGAAGCCGCAGCAGGTGGTCGTCTGCTGCTGCAGCGAGGCCATCAAGACGCACCCCCAGGACGAATCCCTGCTGCTCTTGCTGCTGCGGTTGCTGCTGCTTCTGTTGCTGCTGCTGTTGCTGGTGCATGCGGAAGGACCTCCACACAGCGGGCTCTGGGGGGGAGAGCGCCCGCAGCAGCAGTTGGCTAAGGAGGCCCCCCCTGAGCGCTGCAGGCACCGCAGCGAGGAATTCGGAAGTAAGGAGATGCGACACGGGGTCTTCATGATTGAGGCTCCCGCGTTCTTTGAAGCCTTGAGGCAACGCCGTTGTTGGCATCTCCTGGCCTTCACTGGCAAGGCAGGGATGGTCCGTGATGGCGAGTGGTAGTGGAAGCGCAGCTGCAGCTCCTTGCGATCCTAGCCAACAGGGGTCTATTAGGGGGGCCCCCGCGGGGCACGTTTTCTCAGCATGCGAGTGGCATCCGCGGAGGGAAGACTGGTGGCAAGGAAGGTGGACTACCAGCGCAGCGAGGAGCAGGACCGAACTGCAAGCTGTTTCGCATGGCAGGGGAGGCTTGACAGCAACACGCCCCCACGGCAAGCCCTCAGGCCGCCCTTGTACTGCTGCTGCTGCCGTTGGTGCAAAAGGGGGAGACGGGGAGAAGCAGCCGAGCGGGAGGCCGTAGTGCTGCTGCTGGAGCTCGAGACTTAGCGGTGTGGGGTTGCGGAGAGCTAAGGAGATGCAGCAGTGGAGGAGCGCTGGCAGCGGTAGCAGGAGTGGGCACAGCCCATCAGCGCGCACAAGCGAAGCTGCAAGAGAGAAGCAAAGCCGTCTGTGGAAAAGTGGCAGACAGGGAGACTCAAAGCCTCCTGCCTGTGCCTCCGCGGCAGCCGCTGACTGCTGCTGCAGCTGCTGCAGCTGCTGCAGGCCGCTTGCGAAGGCCCACTGTGCAGCGCACCGAGAGAAATGCCGACACACAGTCGCGCTGCTGCTGCAGCTGCTGCACGCTATTTGTTGTTCATAACGCAGCACCTTCTGGACCCGGCTAGCCACCAGCGCACATGCCGCTGCAGTCGCGACGTACTGAGCTTTGCTGCTGGGAGGAAGGAGCTGCTGCTCCGCGTTGGCGGCATCTGGGGGCGATGCCGCTGAGGCTGCGCCAGAAACACCCCACTGCGAGAACACTGAAGGATCCTGCTGCTGCAGCAGACGCATCACTTCGTCCAATAACACCCACAATCCGACGCCTGCAGGCAGACCTCCCCGTCTGAGAGCCGCGCGGACCGTCGGACCGTCCGTGTGGGGGAGATTCCGTCGCAGCAACGCTTCTCCGACAACCCTGGTGCGGTTGCGGAAGCTGCTGCTGCTGTCGCTACTGCTGCATGCGCTGCATTGCACGCTGGAGGACAGGAGGGGATTGCAGCACCTTAAGGGCTTGACGGAAGCCCTGGGAAGCACGGCGACGGTTTGCAGCTCTAGGGGGGAGAAGCCCCCTGTCGGTGCAAACGAGCTGCCCCCACATGTCCAGAGGTACGCCTCACCCCCCACGCTGTCGATTGCATGCACTCCGTCCTCAGAGCTGCATGCAGCTGCTGCAGGAGCTGCAGCAGCTGCAGCCGCTGGCCAAGTGACCGGAGCTGCTGCGACCTTGCACAAGCAACAGAAGCCGGTCCTGCGTGTGCCTGTGCCTGTGTTGCGAGTGTCATGGAGATTTTTTTGCGGATTTTGGCGTGCTTCGGCAGTTTGGCAGCTACAGCAGCAGCACTGTTGCTCACAGCGGTGGACACAACTGCGCAGTGGCTGCCAGACGCGTCGCCAACGATCGATGTCTGTACCGGTAGCAGCCCGTGCTGCTTCTGGTACTGCCGCCGCTGCAAGAAACTTCTGATGCTTCTCGTGTTGCGGCAGGTCAGCTGGAGCCTCCACCAGCACGAAGCGGGGAAGCGCCTTGCCAGACTCGAAAACAAAGCCCCCTAATCGCTGCTGCTTTCGCTGCTGCTGCTGCCCTTGCTCCCCCTCAGGTTGCCGCTCTTGCCCCAGCGTACGAAATGCCCGTCGCATCTTCTGCTGGAGCATCCAGATCGCGTCTCCTTCTGCTTCTAGAGCAGCAGCATCCGGGCACAAGCCCCCCCCCCAAAGGGTAGCGCCTGCATGCGGTAGCAGCGGAAGAGGATCTGTGAGAAGAAGAGGCGCTCCAAAGGCATCTGCCTGCTCTTGCTGCTGTTGTAGCTGCTCGTCGATGCTCGTCCAGCGCGTGTCCAAGGAGTGCGCTGTGGGTGCTGCTGCAGCTTCACTCTCTCTGCTACCCCACAAGAGAGACTGCAGAGACGGCGGCAGGGGCGGCTCGTTGGGTTGTACTTTCTGCTCCAACGGACAAACGAAGAAGCGAAGACCGCCTGTCTCGATCAGAAGGAAAAGGGGAGCCAGCGGCAGCTCGTGCTGTCTCCAGATTGCCGCTTGCGCTGCCCGCTGTTCTTGCTGCAGCTGCCTCCACAGCCTGCCACTGCTGATCAGCTGAAAAAGAACGCCCTGCACACATATACCCTGCTGCAGCAGCCTCCGGAGGCAACTGCGATAGGCCTGAAGGGCCTCTGCATCCACACGGCGGCAGCTATCACTGTTTGGAGAAGCCTCGAGGAGAGGCATAAAGTCGTGCAGAAAGCGGGCAACGCTCGCCTTTCGTGCTGCTCTACAGATACTCCAGATGTCAGTATGCCCCTTTAGCGGCGCTTTGGCATCCCCTGTCTCTACGAAGCCGCAGAATAAAGCTTTCACTGCCGCTCTGCCGGCAGAAGAGGCAGCACGAGATGTCGCTGCCGCTGCAGCATTGCCAGAAGAGCAAGGAGCCTCCTGGGAAGCCCCTTGCCGCTGCTGCTGCTGCTGCCTCTTGTCAATGCTACGGCTGCGCAGCCGCCGAAGCGTAGAGGCAAGGCCCTGCCGACTCACGCTGCGCACTGTAGAGCCACTGGGCTGTTGTTGCTGCTGTCGTGACTCTGCATCCGCCTCAGGCTGCGCCACGCGGCTTCTGCCTCGAAAAAGCATCCCGATTAATTTGCCGCCACTGCTAGGCTGCTGAGATTGATGCTGCTGCTGGGTTGGCGCAGAAATCCCCAGCAAGCTACGAGCTGCTGCAGCTGCTGTTGTTGCAACGCTGCTATGGCGACGGTACACGGAGAAGCCGTTCTTTTCGGGCTGCTGTTGCTGCAGTGGCGGTGGCTGTTGCACCTGCTGCTTTTTGGCAGAGGAGACTTCCGCACTGTATACGCAGCTATCACAGGAGCAAGTCAGCAGACGCCGCAACAAAGGCGTTGGCTGGTCCTGCTGCATCAGCATCACAGTAATGCATGCAGCAGCAAACTGCTGCAGCTCGCGCTGGACTAGCAGCACAGATTTCTGCCAGCGGATGCATTCGAGCAGCAGCTGCTGCTGCTGACGGTCTGCTAAGGCCTCTTCCTTTGCTGCTGCAACAACTTCCAGCTGCTGCTGAGGTGTGCTGTTGCCGCTGCTCGTGCATATGCCCTCCCTTGCAGAGAGGGCAGCAAGCGGCAGAACAGAAACGAGATGAAGGGAGAATGCAGCTGTCAACCGTTGCTGCTCTGATGCACTCATAGAGCAACCGCTTTTGTCAGGCAGCAAGTGTACCTGAAACGTTGCCGCTTCCCCCTCGCAGCAGCACCACAGAGCACGAACCAGCAAGCCCTCTCCTGCTGCAGTCCATCCTGTTTGATTGGTCCCTCCTTCCTGCTCCTGCTTCAGCTGCTGCTGCTCCAGCAGATCAAAATAACTGGGGTCCAGGTGCACCAGAAGACGCTGACAGGTGCCATGTTTGTTGCTGGTAGCCGCCGAGCAGTGCAGCAGCCACATCGGCGTGTGAATCTCCACATCAACGATGCAGCAGCAGCGCGCAGGTGTTAGCCGCCCCCTCATACCGCTACTGATGCTGCTGCGTTTGCTGAGGAACAGGCTTGTTTTACTACCGCAATCTAAGAACGAAGAGGAAGGGGGTATCAAGGAACCGTGCAGCACCAACGACCCCTTGACTTCCTCTTTCTCGACGCTCACAGAGGTAGCACCACCAGCAGCGCTAGCAACCACGTCCTCCGCTGCTCTCCCAATCTTTCGAATGTGGGCAAAGCCGAGGGACCCCTGCCGTTGTTGTTGCTGAGACTCTTCCCTCCATTCAAACGGAAAGCTCGCCGAAAGAGATGGCAGCGCATCCTCCACCACTCTCAGAATAGGATGCAGCACTGGAGACGTGAGCTCCGCTGCGACTTCCTGAGACGGTGCAGAGATTTGCTGCCCGTGCAGCAGCGGATCGCGGCGAAGTGCCTCAACACGGGCTTCCTCGAGGAGCGCCTGGCTGTCCTTCTCAGGGAGGGAGATGGGCACTGACGGAAGTCTTTCATCCTCGAAACTGGAGAGTCTGAAGCATGCAGCAGTCCCCATATCCTCCCTAGACAGGAGGGCTTCCTCATCCGTTGCTTCTGCTCCACACAGGCCGCAGCTGCATCGATACCCCAGCACCGTCGTGGCTGCTCTTGCTTGCGCTCCATTAAGGCAAGATGCAAGTCGCACATAAGGGCACACGGTTTCACCTTCCTGCTGCTGCGGCTCCTGCTGCTGCTGCTTGAAGGCTTCGAAAAGCCCCTGCAGAGCACCACCGAAGAGCCGCTGCAGTCGCAGCCACTCGGTTTGCCACAGACGGACAGGAAGATCCACCACCGCCCCTGCAGCACTGGTTTCCCCTTGCTGCTGCTCTCGTTGTTTCTGCCCTTCTAGATAAGAGAAGATACAGTAGAACCGCTGCCTCCACAGACAAGCGGCAACCCAAGGCGGAGTGGGGGAACGGACCCTCAACAACAGCCTGCCGGTTGGACTGCTCAACAGCACCACCTGGGGACGCCCACGGTAAGCGCTACCGATACAGCAACTCAGGACGGGAAATTCTGAGATGCGCGTAGCGCAGGATGGATCCCCTGTTGCGTCTGCTTCTGCTGCAGCAGCCTCTGCTTGTGCTTCGGCAACGATTCGGTTGACCATGGAACGAATTTGTGCAGCCTGAGAGGCATGTAGGCAAACCAGCTGGAGTTGGGGTTCTTCAGGAGTGCCTTCTTCATGAGACTTAGAGCTTGACTGAGGAGAGCCCGTTACCCATACTTGAAGGGGTTGTAGTCCTTTGGCCCCTGCAAGCTGCAGAAGCACAGGAATTTTGCCAGCGAGGATCTCTGCCATTTCTGACTCGGAAGAGCTGGGAGCACCCATCCGCTGCAGCTGCTGCTGCAGCAGTTGTGTCGCCATGCTGGAGCTACCAGGGTCTCGTGTGAGCTGACCCTTAT